GCCCCAAAGAATGCCTGCGAGCGGCTCCGGGACGTGCACAGCGATGTCGCGGACAACAGACACGGGTCTCAAAACGTTTTCAATGACCTCGGTCGCTCATCTGCAACACTATTCGCATCTCAGCTGGAACGCACGAGGACGATGCATTGCAAATGTACTGCAGACAGGCAATTGTACTGCAAACGTGCGTCGCCCAAGGATCGACTTACACTCTAGCGCACCCCGTCGCAACACTTGGCAGACTCTGGCACCTCGAACTCGCACGAAGCTTCAAAACGCCGGCAACGCAAGTTCGTGTGCGAATAAACGCTGGCAGCCACATGAGGACACGCGTCGTTTGTAGGGGCTCATATCTCAAGCTAAAGCGAGCAACGCCCTCTTAGCTGGCCTTTTGGGCCAACCGGTCTCCTGCCTCAAGTGTAGATTATATGGTGCATAAGCTCACTCTGGCAAGCGTGATCATTTTCAACACTGTGTCCGTCTCGTGGATGATGGCGCCCTTTGCCTCTTCAATAAAAAACAAACTGGGGCACTTGATTAGATAGAGCTCCAGTTCTTTGAAACCACATAACGCGCGTTATGTGGCTGGGTGGGTGGGCGGTTTCTCTGGCACATAGCAAAACACAGTCGTGCCCGGCTGCCCGAATACTTTTTTCTGCGGGCCAGGCCCCTGTTGACAGTGTTGATACTGATGTAGCGAAGAGGGCCTAGCAGCTGCGATCGCCACAGTGCGCGTTGACACCGTAATGTCCGCCCTCACTGTACATGCTGGTGTAGCAACCTGCGACTGCACCACATCGCCTGTGTACATCATAATGCATTTGTGTATGGCAGTGCTCCCGTGCACGACGGCGCCTGTGCACACAACGGTGAACGCGTAAACCACGACGCTTTTGCGCAATACAGCTGCGGCCACACAAGCACGTTCCGCGTGCACCACAGCTGTGTGCAACACGGTCCGCGTGTACAGGACCCGCGTGCACAGAACAGCAGCCGCGCGCAGCGCGGCTCCTGGCGCCCGTGTGCACCACGTTGCATTCGTACACCACAAAGCCCGCGCACACTTCGAGGATCCCGACGAGGCGCAAAAGCCGAAACTCGTGATCTTCGGGGGGGACGCGAACGTAGTTATCACACTCAATCTGCAAGTGCAGTGCGATTACCCGGGCGGAAAACACCCTGGCAAGTGTTTCGAACTGCGTGCGGCCGCGGCGACGAAGATTCCTCCAGAGGGGGA